AGTTCGAGCAAGCACTCACTCGACCATTACGCCTATGGGCTACATTATTTCAAGTTCGAATCATTCACTCGACTACTAAGCCTACAGGCTACTTTTATTTCAAGTTTCAAGTCTCTTAAATCCTTGTGAAAATATTCATGAGGCGTGGATAAAAGTCTTCACAAGACAGGAAACAAAACAGGAGCAAGTCGGCAAAAAAGGGGACATTTCTATATACAAAATTGTTTACATGATTGATTACAACGTAAAAAAATTAAGGACTAAGCTTCTTGGTCATCCCCAAGAACGGTCTCTTCTCTATCGGGCTCCCCCCCATTCTCGAAACCGCTCTTACCCCCATCATCATCATCATTGTCATCATCATCGTCATCGAAAACCATGACTTCAGCATCGGCTTCGAGTTCTTTGGCCCTTTTTATTTCTTCAGCGAGGTCAAAATCTTGAGCATGTATCTCCTCTAGGGTCTCCCTCCGAGATTGGAACTTAGCAAGTTCAGCGACCCAATGTGCTCGAGTATCGGCGGTCTCGGCTGCCTCTCTTGCTTGGACCTGGGCAGCTTCAGCATCGGCACAATAGATGGCCACAAGTGCATCCGTATCGGCCTTTGCCTTCTCGGCGTCAGATTCGGCCTTGGCAAGTACAGAGGCCAACCGAGCCTCGAGCTCCTCTATCCTTCTTGCTTGGACCGAGCCTTTCTCCTTCATCATTTGAAGTTGGTTTTCAGCCGATGACAATTGGGCTCGAGCAATTTCTTTCTCTGTAGCAAAGCGGTCCATTCCTTCTTTCCACTTCAAAGACTCCGCTCTTATCACATCGACTTATTCACGGAGTTTTTCGATCATCTCGATTTTCTACTGCAGCTGTGAGACCGAAAGGTTAGCCATCGTTCCGGTATCAAGCCCATAAGCCTTTAAAAGCATTATTACCTGCTCGGAGAAATCAATCTGATCTTGGTGAGCCCTGGCGAACTCAGCTTGGAGGTCTTTTATTTCCTCTCCCATTTGGCCCAAAAGGAGTTTTAAGGAGTTCCTCTCCTCTGTAACCCGTTGAAGCTCGGCCTCGTATCGACGCAGCTCGGTTCGGGACCGAGAACATGATTATCGATGAACTGTCGCAGCCTACAAAGAAAGAAGAAACGAAGTCAGAAAAGAAAAGCAAACTTAAAGGTAACGCCATATGATTTAAGGCCTAGCTGATTCAAAGCCTGCTGCACTCTGTGAAAAAGATCTGATGCGTCACTTGTACCAGCAGTGTCTTCGACGCCGATGAACAGGTCACGAAAAGGATACTCTCCATCATGAGGCCTATCTAATTCGATGGCCCCCAAAGCTTGGGCCTCCCGAATCGCCCCTGCAGAAAAAGCAGGGAAGGTGGGCTATCCTTCGATTGCTACTGCCCCGAATGAGTCATTTGGGCATTCTCTTCGGTTCGAAAAGATTCGGGAAGAGCCCCTTCAGACATATCCCCCATCCGTCGGCTTGGATGGGAAACATCTTCGATTTCCAGCAACTCGGGGACTCTGCCCGAACCTCTCTCTGATATATCCTCAATTCGAGGCGGAGCCTTATGAACCACCATCGATCCAGCTACATATGGAATGTCGGTGGTCTTCCTTGTTCGGGTCGCCAGAGCGGATCCATCGTTCTCTTATTCTTTTTCTTCTTCATGCCTCAGACGCAGAACTGATTCTATGGTCAAAGGAATGGCATTCTTGTTAAGTTTACAAGCCATCCTCTTCTTCGGTTTTTGATCTTCGAGGGCGGGGGCTCTTTTCCTCTTATTATCTTTGACCGGCTTTGGGACAGAGGCCGAAGCCTCTTCCTCGACAGACGAGGGCCTCAAAACCGCATCCTTGCCCATACCTGCATGCGAAGATTTTGACTGAAGTATGCGAAAGGCATCTTATTCGAGTTACCGAAGGACACGAGAGGAGTGCTCACCGTGATTTTTGGCCTCCCATCGGCCCTTTGACAAGTCACGCCATGAGCGCTCGGCATATGAGGAGGTCGAAACCAGATCACGTACCCAATTCTTGAGATCGGGCACTGCGCCGGGCATCCAGGGAACCGCTGCATCACAAAAGGGGAATATTGGTGAGAAAAAAAATGAAAGAACAACTTAATAGGGGATAACAACAAAATTACACTTACGCTTCATGTTCCACTCCTCGGGGAAAAGGCATTTTTTTGGTTGGGATCAAGTCCGATGTCCTCACTCGAACGAACCGGCCTATCCAGCCTCGATCCTTATCCTCGTCTATACTCGAGAATAGAGCCTTGGTAGCTCGACGTTGGAGTTTTATTAACCCTCCTCGAAAAGGATGAGGACGGTATAATCGGATAAGATGATCGAGTGTGAAAGGCATTCCCTCGATTTTACTTACAAAATATCGGATCAAAATAACGATCCGCCAAAAGGAAGGATATATCTGGCCTAGGGTTATTAGGTATTTACGATAAAAATCTATGATAACAGGGTCGAGGGGACCTAACGTGAAAGGGTAAGTATACACGCTTAAAATCCCTCTCACGTGAGTAGTGATGTCCTCTCCAGGAGATGGCATTACCACCTCTTTGTTCTCCCAGTTACAATCCTTTTTTATCCGCTCGATGTGCTCTCGGGTTATCGAACAAATATATCTCGATACGGGCTCACATTGGCCAGGAACCGGCGAACCTTTATCGAATTTGAAATCGGAGGTAAGAACACACGCCGCAGGAACTAACTCCTCAGAACGAGGATCCACCGGTGTTTTATAGGCAGCGAATTGGGAAGAAGAAGCTTTTTCTTATTGGGGGACGGTTTTGGATGTCTTCACCATTTTAGATTTAAAGAAGGTGACGAAGATTTGGTAATTTGGAAGAAGAATTTTGCAAAAGGAACCACTGATTTGTGAATGGACTCAGAGAGTACGAAAAGAAAATTGGAAAATTTGGAAGATTGGAGTTGCAAAAGTACTAAATGATAAAAGGAAGGGATATTTATAGGTTCAGGCAATGGCGTTTCAGTATCAGCGGTGGCCGACCATCGTCTGACATGTATTAAATACCTTGAAAAACTAAATCGACGGGACAGCTATCACGTGCGTCATGGTCGAGCCCAATATAAACGTCAGCTTGTAATCCGATCGAGCCGTTAAAAAATTATATCGTTTCTCACCACATTCTTCCTGAGAAACAAGGGGACTATCTATATGCGGTCGAAATAGATTTTGGCATTTGTATGATCAATCGAGTTCGAAACATGATCGATCGAAGCGAGACTTTGAGTTGGGTTCTGAAGATGGTACAAACAAGCTTCGAGTCCGAGGGGCCGATATCCTTATCGAGCCCGAATCCAAATCGAGCTATGATGCAAAGTAAAGTTATCGAGCTTATGATTCAGAGACCGACCAACATCGATCCCGAATCAATTCAAGGGTTCTAGTTAGAATCGAGCTCAAGTCAAGACCGAAGACTCGAGTCAATATCGAGCTCATAAACAAGAGCCGTTGCAATCCCACTAGAGGAGAGAATCTCGACAGGAATTGTGAAAAAAGCTGATTTATCATGGTCTTTCACTATGTATTTTTAATTATATTTAAAGTAAGATCCCTCTACTATAAAAAGGGATGGTTATCATTTCGGTAGGGTGCAAGTTTTATGCTTATATTGTAATCCAAATACCATATTCTCCCATGGTGAAGAGTTATTCTTTGAAGCGTCATAAACTGATTCATCTTGCTTAGTCCTTAAAATCGCTTTCTTTACAACTCTGTTTATTTTGCACTCTTTGCGGTCCATATTTGATATTTCCTTTTATTTATGATTTGTATTGAGCTATATCACATATCCTTTACGAATAAATTCAACTCTATTCGTTTTGCGGGTAAACATTAGTGTTTAACTAAAGACAGAATTTAACAAAGAAATATTTTTGTTATATATCAAAAGCATATTTATTGACTTATGGTTTTAAAAATGCTATGACATTTATGTGACTATGTAAATGCTTGTCATTAAGGACAAAATGTAAAATTTAGAGTTAATAGATTTCTGAATATGAAAAAGTTTTATTCATTTTGTAACTAACTAAAAAAAAGAGTGTCTAACTAAAAAAAAAAAAAGAGTGTCATCTAAAATAAAACATAGACTGCAAGTAGAAATGAAAAATGCAGCATTGTGTACTTGGTGTACACATAACACATGCTCGTGATAGTTTTCGTGATTCCACTTAACATGACGGAAACATACAAGAATGTAAACTCTTTTGAGTGACATATCAACCACAAAAATGAGCTCTTTTAGTGATTTGTTTTTCTTGATAATTGGATGGACCGCACATGCCAAAGAGAAATCAATCTTGACCTAAACGTGTAGTCCAGAAAACGTTTGGTAATCTATTCATCTTTCCTTGCAGAATAGTATTACTTATCATAAATACCAAGTATAAATTATTTTGTATCTGTTAAAAACTGAAAGTAAGTCTACCACATACTGAAAGCAGAAAAGTATGAAAGAGAAAGCATAACTAGAGTTTTAAAAAAGAAAAAGAAAAAGATCACTAATCAAACTTTACAAGTAAAATATGCAAGGGCTTTGACCCTCGTCTTTACCTTTCAAACTTCAAAATTACTCTTCATTCTTGAAGTGAGCATGTAGAATACGGGTTTAATTTACAGCATAAAAATAATTACACTATCAGATTATGTTAAAAGTAAATAAAGGTAACTACTCATAGAAAAAGAAAGAAAAAGAAGGTAATCCATAATCACTAAAACTAACTAAGATAATAACACAAGCAATTGTCTACGACATGTTACATCGCACAAACTGTTCATTTACATTGTCGATAGATATAAGGTAAAATGATAAATCCATAGCATATTCAACAAATGCTTATGCTGTGGAAAGGTTGCATATACTACAAGGTAGTGAGAACTACAAATGATCTCCCACGGGCAAACTTGATCAATTCCCAATCAGTTCTGGAAGTTTTACTCAGGCCTTTTGTAATAATCATCAACCTAAAAGAGGAAACCATCTTTCGCGAAAATCAGACTGGTAAGAAATCATGAAAAGGAGAAGCACAAGGAGCAAGCCAACTCCCCAAGGAGTTCCACCAGCTCTATGAAATGATTCTTGATCAGGCAACGGAATAAAGAACAGAGATTTCTCCAAGCTTGAAAGCAAATGCACAACTAGCAGCAACAGCAAAGGAGATACCATGAGAACGAGCTTCATCTGATCCATAATTCCTTCAAAAATAGACTCATAGTTGATGTACCATGTTATACTTACAAAGGAGAAGAGAACAAGAAAGAAAAAACATAAGTGTATTGAAGGAGGTTGTGAAGAGTAATTGTCAGCCATTTTTCTAAAAAGGGTTTCTGAAAATTTTCTTGAAATGTCTTGAATAATGACTTGTTAGGTTCTTGAAGAAGAAGACTATGGGCTTTTATATAGACTTGATTGATATTTTAGGGTTTAGTGATTTCTTTTAATAGATAAAAATTGATGAATGACTTACTAATGAAGAATAGCTAGAATTGAAGAAAGAGAAAATGACACTTTTCAAGTTAGCTTTTGGATACATTGTAAGATTCTTTCTTTTTGACGATCCACAAATATGCATGCAATTGGCCGGTGACTTTTTTAATATGGTTAACGTCTTTATTAAAATAGTGGACAATGAAATTGCTGACACATGTCACCGGCCAGGGCCAGAACCTGAAGTGGACCTCTTATGTTTTATGAGAAAAGTTTAAAACCGTAAATCTCTTGACAAATATTAATGAATAAAAAAATTAACATTATTATAGGTTAAAATTTAATGATAATATAAAAAAATCTTTAAATATAACTTAAATTCATATTTTATTATCACAGGAATATAATTTAATGTGAAATTACACCTGTAGTTTGCTTAAGCTGACTTTAGTGCACCCCTTATATTTTGGAAAATCATTATACAACCCTCCCTTCTGATTCATTTCTAGGATAATGGTATTTTTGTTGTAATGAATTGATTTATTGGAGATTTCTGGACCATATGTAGTGCTTTTTGTATTCAAAGCCTATTTTTAAAGACAAATAAAAGCAATATCTCTATCTTAATATGATGATTTAATTTCTTTTTCATTGATTTTGTCGAATAAAAAGTAAAATAGTAAAATAACACCTTTTGGTATACACTTTACTGATTGGAGTCTTGGAGACGATCAGATGATTGTAATTTTGACTTAAGGAAGAAACCTCGTAAATATCACAAAGTAAAGACATTATGACTTATCACGATCTCAAAATCCATCTAGTCGTGATGACACCTAACCCGACTCGTTAGGTAAGCCAGATAACAATCAATACAACTCTAATGAAATGATAGGAAATCAATAAATGAAATAACTGGAATTTCATACAATAACTCAAGAATTAGTAGTGTAAGTCATGAACCACTAAAGCTTAGATTTACAAGCTGGTATAAAAATAAATACAAAACATGTATGAAATATACATAAAAAAGATTTGATTCTAAAACTACCAAGGACAAGTGGTAGCTATATCCAGAAAGAAAGTACATTTTCATTGCCAGATCCCGTTATCACAATATCTCAGCTCCAAGATCTGCATATAAGGTGCAGAAGTATATTATGAGTACAATCGACCACATGTACTCAACAAGTATCATAACTAACCTCGACGAGGTAATAAAAGAAAGAATTATAAATGATACTCGCAATCACCTGTACAAGTACATAAATTCCAATAAGTATAAAACATAAATATGATCAAATCATGAAATCACAGATAAAACCACCTTGGTGCTCACAATTTTCTTAACGTATTACGCTCAGTCAAGAATCCGGCATATAAAGAAGATATGCAAATAAATCGGGTAAACAACCAAGAAAATTGCAAGTAAAGATAAAATGCAACAACTTAATAACAATCTGTTGCGGCACCTAATCCGATTCAAATAGAAATCACATCATGGCTCTCAGGCCCATATCAGAATCTCAGTAGCTAAACCAAACCAATAACTAGCTCTCCCAGAGCTTACATCAACCAGAAATCAGTCAGTTTCTCACAATCCGCGTGTACAACATCAATAAGGCACATGAGAGAGTGATCCTAGGGCGATGGATCCATATCCACACGTTGCACACTGTAGTCACGTACAATCCGTTGGGCGTGGTCATATGCTCAATATCATAATCCGTCCGGCATGGTCACATGCTCAATATTACGGATCCGCCCAACGTGGTCACATGATTAATAACACAATCCGCCCAGCATGGTCACATGCAAAATAACACAATCCGTGTAGCCTGGTCACATGCTCAACGCAATGCGCCTGGCGTAGTCACAGTCACAATATCATAATCCACTCGGTGTGATCACAGGTACAATATCACAATCCGCCCGACGTGGTTACATGCACAGTATTACTATCCGTCCGGCGTAGTCACAAACACAATATTACAATCCGCCCGACGTGGTCACATGCTACCAATCAAATCCATATCACACATAAAGCAAATATGCAAGAACACATGCACATGTTTAAAGTATATCAAATTTCATACTCTTGGACTGGTATAAGTGACATGCTAAGGTGTATGCATGTGCACGTGTGATATCATAACTCAAATCAGGTAAATACATCACAAAATAATAACTATCAGGTTTAATCAAGAGATTAACCTCTGTGTAACCTCAAACATGGCTTAAATAGCTCACAGCAGGGTTACAGATAAGAGAAACATCACAGCATGAAGCTTAACAATCAATTCAAGGCATATCATAGCCTAAGCACTACTCTTAGCATGGTTAATATCCCGGTGCACACACATGGGATTAGCCCCACACATGTGCGCCACCCATAACACGTAGCTATCACAAATAACTCAGCCAACTAGTGCCTCAACCAAGTTTAGGTAAGATACTTACCTCAAGCAAGCCAAAAAAATACTCTAGAAGTGCCATCGCGCACGAATCGACCTCCGAACAGTTCGAAACTAGCCAAAAGCAACTCAAAAACATCAAATAGTGCCATAAAAACTAGCCCAAACGATAAATGTCGAATCTTTAATCAAATACTCAAAGTCAACCCGGGTCCCGCACTTCATAACCGGACAAAACTCATAATTTCCAACAATCCATTCGAATACGATTTTAACCATACCAATTACATCCAATTCTAACTCTGTATTGATGTTCAAAACTCAATTATTCACTTTAGAAAAGTTTATACAAAAATCCCTATTTTTTTTTTAAATTCATCAATCAAACGGCAAAATCAACGATGGAATCATGTAAAATAAATAAATTCGAGCTAAAAATACTTACCACAATCAAATCGTGAAAATCCCCTCAAAATCACCCAAATCCGAGTTCTATAACTCACAATGTGATTTAAAATAACTCGAAGTCCGAAATAGAGTACTTATATGCACTGCCAGTGGTACCTTGTGATCGCGGTTGTACCCTCGCGATCGCGATGCTCAAAATACACTGCCACAAATTACACTTCGCGTTCGCGACACTTATCCTGCGAACGCGATGACCACTGATGCCATAACTATAAGAACGCATCGCCTCCCACGCGAACACAATGATCAAAACCCCCCCCCCCCCCCCCAACTCCCTCACTGAAATGCGATCGTTTCACCTATGCGAACGCGAAGAACAAATCTCTCCAGCCCAGCATACAACCTTCGCAAACGTGGTTTCTCAACCGCGAATGCGAAGAACAAACGTCAACTGGCCCAAAATTCCTCTACGCGATCGCAAGCGTAGCTCCACGATCGCGATGCTCTATAGAAACACCAGTAATCAGAAACTCCCAAAACAAATAAGAATGGCTTGGAACTACCCCGTAACTTACCCGATCCCCTCGGGACCCTATCCGAAAATACCAACATGTCCCTTAATTGCCAACTCTTCAAATTGCCAATTTTCGCCAATTAGAGCCTAAACCATCTAGGAATATCCAAAGGCAAATCCGGGCATGCACCCAAGTCCAAAATTAATATCAAGACCTAATGGGATCATAAAAACTCCAATCCGAGTCAAATACAAAAATAATCAAACTTGGTCAACTCTTCCAACATAAGGCTTCATAGTTGAGAATCATTTTTCCAAATCAATCCTGAACCACTCGAAAGCCAAAATCGATGATACGTGCAAGTCATAATACACCATATGAAGCTACTCATGACCTTAAACCACCAAACTGAATGCAAATGTTCAAAATGACCGGTCGGGTCGTTACATTCTCTTCCATTTAAGCATATGTTCGTTCTTGAACGTGCCAAGAGTCGTAATAAAGCCATCAAATCACTGTATAGACTCACCATACACGTACCCATGGGTGATCCCAAGTCACCCCAATCTATAGAAGCTTGACAATACACCCCAACTGAAGACCCTTTCTTCAACCTTAGCCCATAAACCTTGAAACCCAATCTCTAACATCCAGAATTCATTACAAGACCCGAATCTCACAACTGTACACTGTATAAGTATGAACAAGATGTATCAAGCCATAGCCATAACCTAAGATGTAATCACATGATTTACCACATAACTCGGATACTCATAGTAATAACTTTCGACCACAATAGCTACTCAATAACGAATTCGGTACTGGTAACAAACCTCATATCAAATAAAACCTTGTTCTAAGCCTTCGCACACTCCCGATGATGAAAGAAACACGTTGAAACGCATAACCACTCATCAGATCAACTAGTCGTGGATCTCTCTCGCCCGATAAGAACTACTGCCAAATTATAAGCTGGCTTCTGACATTATTCTCCCAAACATACCTTAATCAAATACGATAGTACTAATTCCAGGTCCAAAATCTCATCTCATACAGTACAAGATGCTCGGCCGACATGCCACACAAATACTACCTAAATCCACATACCGTGCAATTCGTGCACCAAACAAGCAACGACTCAAATGCACCAGTGATGGAAAGAGAAACAAATAAGAGAACCGTCTCACAATCTCAACAGATACCACCAGGAAGCGCAATGCTATGAACCCATCACACAAAGGAAACAAAACACACGAAATAAGCACAAAGGATCATATCCCAATCATAACTCCGCTGCAATGCATGATCCAATCCAAACATCAGTCCACATGGAATACCTTGAGCCATGATGCTCACAATCAACAACCATATGCATATCAACAACAAACACGTGAAGCTCATGATCATAACCATAGAGAAACAGGTAACACCACATATCACAAACTGGAAGACCATAACCTAGGCGCAATCAGCCATTCAACACCACAAAAACCATCTCGCTCTAATTCCGCCACAAGGCCCAAACATAATCGCATCATCTATGTAAATAGTCAACAGTCTCACAACTCATCGTAGCATAGAAGAGTAACACATAGAATACGAATAAGGTCAACTCTTACCGATGACACACCCATCAACCATGGCTGTGTTAGGTAAACAAATTCGTCCCGATGTAAAATATACATCCTCGATAGGTCTACCAGTGGCATCCAAATC